GTGGTTTCGTTCGGTTCGTCGATGCCGCGGCCATGGCCGCAGCCGCGAAACTCTTTTGTGTTTGTCGTTCATTTTGTTGCTTCGTTTGTGTGGGGAAACCGTTTCTGAGTCATCTTTAGAGGTTTGAAGCAGGTAAAAAGAAAAGGAAAATGCAAGGCGTCAGTTGCATGAATGCAACGTTGGAACGCCGTGTGTACCAATGGCTCTGGCGCAAAAACCTCAGAGCTGATGGAGATGTCACGGGACAAGAGTTCCTGGTGCACTTGTCGAAGGCTTGCCGCTGGAAGTGAAAAGCCGCGTATGGCGGTTTTCCCGCTGAGCACTTTGGTGAAAGAATTGACCAATTGGGACCGTTTGAAAACCGACAGAGCAGACTATGGCATTTTTAAGAGAGAATGTCACAGCTTTCATGCCATGTTGCTACAAAGAGAATTTACACCAAGACTGAGTCCAATCATTTCGTGGAAGGGAATCCTTCTCTCTGAGCATTGTGTCTCATGCTTAAGATGATTGATCCCAATTTATCCTGATTGCTGATGGAAACAAACTCTTATTACTCAGGTACTTGAAATAACAAAAACTAATGTCCAAATTGACGACCCCATTTTTACTCAATTTTCTTGAAATGGTCCTCCTCAGGGGGTTTCAGGAGAGATGTAACACGCCACCCACAGGCGCCAGAAGGCGTCGTCACCTAGTTAGGTATGCGGTATGCTGTGGACCGTCACAGGTGGACCGTCTACAGCCCCAAATGGCTGTGCCAAAAAAAGTCCGTCCACTACAACAGGAAGAAGGGAGTTGCTAGCTCCATAGTTGAGGGTATTCTCAACTTTGGTTATGTGCGAGATGGCTATCATATAGCTCAGGCTGGACTCAAGAACTGCGACAATCACCTTCACCTTTCTTGCACACAAGAACTATACATTTGCATACATTTGCATGAAAGAACTTCCCCAGTGGTTCTGCCAAGTAGCCTTTCGCCTTGCCAAAGTCCTTTCCGACACTTTGGGAAGGCAGCTGCTGTTCCGCCTGAACACCCACAGCGGTTCTGGTCGCAGAGCCAAGTTCGTCCAACTGTCCAAGCCCCAAAAAGGGGTCGACCATGGATATGATAGGGTGCTGTGTTGACCCCAACTTGCTCCTGATTCCCCACTGAGGGTTTCTCTCTCTAGATGACCACTCGCAAAAGCTTAAGAAATTCTGCACGAAGATGCGTGATGGCACCCTTTCTTTCAGGCGAACAAACAGCTCGTGTTTGGCCCAAAACGAGCTGCACGTGAATGTCCACCGGGTCAGCGAAGGCCCGCATCATTCTGGGGCGCAGGCCATGTTGCCGCCGAACTTGGCGTTCAGGTCCTCGCTAGTGCAGTCAGGCCCCTTCAGATCAGATTGACCGAAGATCTGTGCAAAGCAACCAACAACAAACCGTTTTCCAAGTGCAAACCGGCTGCGAGGAGATCTGACTACGGTCGAATCTGCTTGCCAGAAACAACAAGGTCATGACTTTTATCCTTGGAGGTATGGTGATCTCGAAACTGATTCAAAAAAAGGCATAAAACACTGGACAAAAAGGTTTCCTAATCGTGCATGTACTCTCTACAAAAACGCTATGAAATATTCATAGTCGACGTCGTCTTACTCCGACAAATCCCATAAAGCCTTCTCTTGTCATCCAAGATCATCCAAAATCAGACCAGTTCAGGTGTCTACAGGGAGTCGAAGTTGATCGAAGGAATCTCACTTCTCCCGGCCCAAAACCACTACTAGTAGCTACTTGCTCCTAGTAGTACGGCCAGGAGCCCCTAGGCCCCTAGTAGCTTCTTTGCTCCTAGTAGCGGTGCCAGCAGCCCCTAGTAGCTTCTTGTTCCTACTAGTAATGCCCTAGCTACTAGTAGCAAAACGCACAGCTGGCAGCGCGAGTTCCGGCTGATGGTGCCGCCAAGCTTCGGCCAAGCTCATCTTTTGCGTCGCTGGCTTCTTCCCCATGACTGCGCACTCTGGACCTCAAACAACGTCGGGAGAGTTGGGAAGGTGGTCTTGGTCGGTGGTCAAGACTCGTCTTGGTCGGTTGGAAGGTCCCAAAAACAGCCCAGAGGGCCCAGAGATGCTGATGTTGGACGAGAAATCCGCTGAAATCAACTGGCCGTTTTTCAGCAGAGTTGCACCTCCTTTCACAAAAAAAACAGTTTGATCTGAGGTGCCCCGGCCGTGTGCAAAACAGTTCTTCGGATGTCCACAAACACTCAGAACTGGCGCAAAACTTTGGGCCAAAACTGCAGTCCGGCCGGTACTTCTCTTCAGCTGCACATGCAACATCTGCCAGCAGGCATGCCCAGCCAGTTGGATGACCTAAAGGACCTTGAGGTGGTTGCCCCGACAAACCCCCCTTCAACCAACCCTGCCAAAAACGAGCCCTAGTAGGTCTGTCTTCTTGCCATCACTTCTGAGCGTTCACAAGCCTTCATGCTGCGAGCCCCTTCCCCAAGAGCCCAAGGCTATAGACATCGCTGTCCGTCCGAAAGACAAAAAAGGGTGCAAAGGAATACACCCCCCCTACCTCTTCTATGAAAACACTCTGTTTTACAGTGTTTCGTGCTGATTTTCTATCTGCTGACTATTGTAGTGTTTTGTGCTGATTGTCTATCGGCTGACTATTGTAGTGTTTTGTGATTGTTTTTAATACCTAGTATACATACATTCCATTCAGTTTTGGTACGTTTGTCTTTCTTACAAAATACCAAGATACCAAAATTGTTTTGAAGGTATGCAGAATTGACCGTTTAATGTGTTTTGTTTCAATATGTACTGTACACATCCCAGTCTGTGAAGTATCCAAAAAGACATGTTAGGTTTTTCGATAAAACCCAAAAATAACTCAGAGACTCTTGGCTGGACCCCCCTCCTTCCCCAAGACTTCCGGAATTGTTTTTTGTGTTTTTTTGATCCCAAGGTTTTTTGATTGCTTAGGAGTTCTTTATTATTATGGTAGTTTCCTGGACCCCACTCCTTCCCCAAAACTTCCTCAGAATTGTTTTTTGTGTTTTGTTGGTGTTGAATGGTGTTTGTCTTTTAAAAAAATAACAATTTAGCCCTAATTGATTGTTCATTAAGCGGCAGATGGTCGCGTTATTTCGTATGTTAATACAGAAAAAAATAAATAATATGTTCTCAAATAGACTTACTGTAGTGTAATATACGTTCAGTGCAATTTTATGTTAATGTATTGGTTCAAATGGTGTCAATGTACTCTTAAACTATGTTCAAATTGCTTTTAGCAAATTTGACATAATCTTGATATAATGTTAATTAGTAGTCAATTAAACTAAACTTGCTGTATTTGGGTGACATTTTTTTCAGAAATACGGCTGCAATCGCTGTCAACTAGATTCAAATTTGTTGGATTCAATGAAACTTAAACTTCGTTCAATTCATGTGCATATACTTTGGAATGTATGTGTTATTCAGTAGAGGTTGCTGCTTTTTTGATATTAATTTGCATTTGCTTTTAGACACCATTGTCTTTATTGTGCTGTTCTTTTTTACCATCATGTTTTGCTTTTATAGCTTACACATAGTTTGTTGATGTTAAATTGGTCTTTAAACGTTAAAATAGAATGCAATTATTCTATATGTTTATTATCTTCACAAGACATTTTAGTAGATTTTTTGAATGTTGTTTTAATTAAATAGTATCTATACTGTGTCTATACGTGTTCTATGTTTACTTGTCCTTTGTATTCTTCACTTTTAGCTTGTATTCAATTCAATTTCATAAATGGGTGTTTACTTAAAAATAATGTGTGTTTGTTAAACGTATGTTCAATTTGTTTGAGACAGTTTTAGTATAGTTTCACTGAATTTTACTTGAATATACGTGCCATTTCACATTGATCTTTGATGGAAGGTTTTAGAGAGGAAGCCAATCTTGATGAGGGGCTCTTGATGTGCAATTCTACTTTCACAGAGATCAGAAAGAAATGCTTTTGAAGTGAAAGCCTTTAAAAAGGACTTTTTATTATTGCCTAGAGACCTATAGGGCAACTTTGAAATGAAAGTTTCTATAATAAAAGAAAAATCATATTAGATAGAAGGGATCATTCCCTGAGATCAGACAAAACAACTTTTGGAGTATAGCTTTGTACAAAGCTTCTTCATATAAAGTGATTTTTCCCAGAGATCTATATAATATATAGAACAAGCCTTTTGCAATGAAAGAATTAATAGCTTTTGAGCATAGAAGTTACCATTCCCAAGGACCCAAAGGCAAGCTTTTGAAATTACATGTTTTAGATAAAACTTTTGATATACAAGTGATCTGTGGCCCACATCTGATAAAGCCACACAAAAGGTAGGTACGGGTACGGGTGGCAGCATATATACAAATTGCAAACATATACATGATGTATAACTTCGTAGGGTGGACTCAAGGGTGTTGCAATATGCCTCACCCCCCTGGCCAGAACAAGAACTGGTGGTATTAAAGGTTGATGTGGCCACTCAGTTTCCACTGGTGATCACATCCTAAACAAAACCACACGATAAAGCTGCATACTCTTTATATACACCCGAAATCGTTGTTCAGGTTCTTCTACCTACCATGGACGACACTTCTTACTCGAGACCACCGCATGGCACTTCCTTCTCGCCCCATCAACACACGGGACTCGTTCACCTCAAACACAAACCCTGTCGATGAGTCCATGAGTCGATGAAACATGAGGAAACCCAATACAGCAAACATCGAAATCAAACAAAAAACGACTGTCAGACCCCTACACCACTACTGCATGGTCTCTTCGCCTACCCCCCTCCTGTCGTGAAGGTTCTCGATTGGATCCCCCTGACGACCCCTGCGAAAGGTCTGAGCTTCGAGCTGGAGACCTTAAGGACCTTGGGAGGTACAGGCAGCAAAGAACTGCTGAAAATGAACTGATGTTTTTCAGCGTTTGTTGGACTCAAACAAGTGGGCTCTTCTGCGGCAAGGACAAGGATTAATTAGTTAATTCTTAATCGTTTATTGGTGATGTTCAAAACTCAACCATTGTCGATATGAAGTCCAAGCACATTACAGACTATGAAGGCGGTCGCTGGAGAGTTATACATCTGCCAGGTGTTGCACATCTGCCAGGTATAAAGGAAAAACAACACCCCGAATCGGTCCTGGTCTTCGCATGGATCTGGGGTAGCTGTGGCGCAAAGCGAGTGGAACGTATCGTCTTTTGGCCTCCAAGCACCGCGTCGCTTTTGGCCGATGTCAGGCCCTCCAAATGTTTCGGTGTGCCCGGATGGAGCGCGCCATGCGTGGCGGCGTCATCGGGCACGATCTGCCTGCACCGTCCTCAGGGTCCATCATCGCCAGGCCTTCTCCCCAGGTTCCACCACTTTAAATCCTTTTCAATGCACATCATCTCTCAGCGATGCCCGTCGATGGCCTTCAAGATCTCGGACCGCAGTGCCGGCGCCAGAGAAGAGGAATGCCCCGCTTGGGGCACGAAAATCAGCTTCGCGCGCGGTAGCCGCTGGCGCAAACGCCAGGCATTGGCCGGGGGGCAGAGCAAGTCGTTTCGCCCATGAACCTGGGAAAAGGAGCATCCACCGCTGCTAAACCCGAGTCCAAAGACCTGGGTCTGTTGGTGTCCATTGTGGAAGTTCTGATTGAGTCGGACCTGGGTCTGTTGGTGTCTTTCAATGATCTTGTGAAATGCAGCAACAGTTCAACCTCTCCAATGAGAATCTGGTTGTTGAAGCGGGTCTAATCTTGTTGTGCGACGCATCTTACTTCACGGGCACATGGGCGGTACGAACACGGAAACCGACCAGGTCAAGTGCCACAGAAGAACCTCTGGCAGTTTGCACGATTGTTCAAAAGGGCTCAACGTGCAGATATCTGAGTCCGAAAGCTACTCAAACCCTGTTGTCCTCAACTTTGTGATCGCTGTGAATGTCAGTAGATGAAAACACATCTGGCTGCAAGCCGAAACAAGCGCTCAGAGTTATTGCCCAAATAAACACTCCATGGTTGCAGGCCCAAACCACCTGTGCAATTTCTTGACAAAAGATTGAAACTGAAAAGATTGCCCGGCCAGGCGCAATGGCGCAGGGAAGATGAGCGATTCGCTTGCACTCTTCCAAGAGCTGGTCTGCATCCACGAAGCAGCCGTTGGCCATGTATCGCATCTCAATCGCCAACCCATCACCTTGGACTCGGCTCGAACAGCCATTCTGTTCAGCCAGGTTGAGGGAGGTGGAGGGAGTCCTGCAAGCATCAACACCCTGACGCTTTTTGAGTCTTTTGGGTCCAAAAGCCGGGAAAGAAGGATGTCAACCGAGCAGGTGCCCCAGCGGCTCCACACACATTCACTTCTTGGAAGCCAACAACACCGGGTCGACCATCCAAAAAAACACCCCGAACCGAAAGGCGCAAGAAGTCCAGCTTCACTTTTACCACTGCCACACTGATTGAAAAAGACAACTCAGAAGCAAACAGAGTTGCCATTGCCAAAACCAACACTCTAGTTGCAACCTACTGTTTTAAAACGGAGAGGAAACCGGTTGGACCCACTTTCAGGTTCTAGACCCTCCAGTCCCATCCAAGAATGAAACTCTTAGACCACTTGTGGAGGACCTCCACCATGAGGACTCAGAGATTCTTGTGGAACCACATCCTCTCCCAGTGCCCCCCACCCACCTCACCTGCATCTTCCGGGTTCCTTGCCACCTCTTCGATGATCGACTCGTCAGGCTCCAAGCTCAACAACCGCATGATCCAACGCAGATAGGCGCTCCGCGCAGCGTTCCGGACCTACCAAAAGGTCGGCGCGCCATGGCGAGTCCGAAGGTCGGTTCAGCCAAACTAGAAAAAAAACACCAAACTAAAACCTCATCAAAAAGACGATGATGCCGATATCATGCTCGCTACTAGCGAAATGAGATGAGATCACATCAAGCCGCGCTGGGCGGCCTCGCCGTCCCACGGCCTACGGGCCGACGCCTTCGTGTCCTCTGAAGCCAAGCGTTCCGCATACCTCCCAAGCAGCTCTCCCGGCTGTGCCCCCGTGGCGTCCACGGCGGCGGCGAAGGCCTCGTGGGCCTCGGGGAAGAAGAGCCCCGCGCCGGCCGCGCTGTAAGGGAACTCGATGGAGGCCTGGCAGCCGAGGACCACCTCAAGGAGTCTCTCAATTGGATGAGTTGGACTCACTGAGTTCTTGTGGAGGGTTCTGGTGAGTTCGTCTGTGCAAAGCGAGTATGCCTTGTGCAGTTCTTGTGCGGAAAAGCAACAGACCCTGCAAGTCTGAAGAGGGGTCGTTCAAAGAGTA